AGCGCTATATAAGTGTAAGCAATAATTATTATTACTGCACTGACACTGCACACAGGAGAGGAGTCCCTGCTGCACAGAGCTGTGCGACACCTCCACTGCTCCAACACACACTTCACTACACTACTGCCCTGACACTGCCCACAGGAGAGGAGTCCCTGCTCCCCTACTGAGGTCGGGCTGCACATGGGTGGTGGAGGGGATCCCCATTACCTGTAAAGCGGGATGGAGTGTCAGCGATTATGATTATTACTGCGGACACCCCTGCCTGCTGTAATCACACACTTCGCTGTTCTCAGTTTCCTCTAACTGTACAGCTCCGCCTCAGTCTCTATTTGCGTCTTACCGGATGCTACGATCTACAGTCCAGGCCACAGGTATCCCCGGTGTCTTCTCCTTCAGCGCGCCGTCTGCGGATGGCCGCTTTGTCAGGGACTTACATTTATTTAAATTAAATCAGGCCAAACAACGCCAAGTTAACAGACTGCAGACGCTCGTCTTCAGGCTTGGAAGAGGCGCACGAATTTTGCGTCATCAACCGCTTTTCTTACCGTAAAATACGTAGCGCAACCCTCTTACGTGCAAAATTATTTTTTAATCGAAACTTGAAAATGTGTTTTAAGAGTTAAAATGCCATCATTTTACGGCTGAGATAGGATTCGGACTAAGAGAAATAAAAAAAACATATGCTTTTGTAGCAACAGGAAACAAAGAACATTACAGTGTTTACCGATCTCGAGTGCGCAACTCTTCCTTTCGTGGGTGATTACGGTAACGAGTGTGGCGCGACGAAGCTAGCGCCATTTTGGCTCCGAGAAGGAGGTCGCAAAAGCCCCGCAAAAGGGCTGAAATGTTGAACCAAAATGGCGCCGAAGCAGCTCCGGTTGTCGTTAAATATCTGTCGGGCTCGGCCCCCCTTCCCAGAAGCCCTCTCGGCCCTGCTGCTTCCCGGTGGAGATCATGGCTGGACGTGAGTACAGCGGGTCGGGTCGGCCCGGGCTGGGCCGCTGGGCTGTGTGCATGTCTGCCGGCGGGGCTGCGGTAGTGTCCCGGTGACCCTGTTCCTCTCCTTACAGGTGTGGCAGCTTTCCTGAAGGGCGCCTGGAGCAGAGAGCCTGTGGTGACCGTGGCGTGCGGGATCGGGGCGCTGGGTCAGTGCCCTTCCGTCTGTCCATCAGCCTGTCTTTCTCCCAGTGCCCGTCCGTCTGTCCATCAGCGTGTCTTTCTCCCAGTGCCCGTCCGTCTGTCCATCAGCGTGTCTGTCTGACCGCCTGTGTTTGTCTCTGTGTCCGTCTGATCCGCTCCGGGTCTTACAG